TAGTCCATTTAATTCAGCCAAGTCAAAAGTGCTGCTGCTGGGCAGAAAGAAGGCATATAATATTAGCCCTGGAAGACTGTATTCAGGCAAGCAATGGGGCAGAAAAGAACCTGGGCATTGTGGGTTACTGTTATGAGTATCTTAGTATGAGTTTCTGGTACACTGAACTGTTCAAAGAAATGCATAGGGATCAATTAAAATTACAACATGCAGAAAAAAATGAAGGAGGTGGTCTGGCTTTTTATACCTACCCCAGTACTGTGCACAGGTGGGAGCTCAGAAGGAAGGAAGCAAAAATAACAACAGGATTAAAAACAAACAAAGAAACCAACAAAACTGCTTGGGTTCAGAAGCTCTATCTTTCTATTTAGCAGCACAGAGGTTGAGAAGTGTCATGGCTATATAAAAATACCTATATATAAATAGATACATGCTGCGTACAAATATATATACAGATGTAGAATAGATCTGGTGGTTTAACGAGAACCAGTGGGGAATCAGGCAGATTCAACCTTGAAATCAGCAGCAGCGCTGTAGTTAAATTAGCAGTAAAACTTTAGGAGAAGAGAGCTGGTGGAATCATTTATAATCTTTTAAGATAAATTTAGATATTACTTTTTTTTACGATGTACTTTAGTCAAACTTGTGGGAACAATTCAATGAGTTATATAGAGAGATTATAGCCGAGTGACTGCAGTAGTCACTTCAGGCTCTACAATGTGTAAATCCATAAACAATTAAACCACAAATGCAGATACATTTCAAAAGGACAAGTTTAGTGTCTGTTCCAGGGGCCATTGTTGTCTCCCAGTTAGCATGGCTTCATGTTATGGCTTCATTACATTTTGTTGTTCCTGTATGTTGTTAATACGCACAGTGGTTCAAATGTTGGGTGTGCAGAGATACTTGGTTTCAATTTCATATGTACCTGAGGTTTATTTGGATGCTTCCACATACTGGTAGTAGAAGAACAGGTGTTCCCTGTGAGCTCATTGGGTATTCACTTGTCCTGTTTTTATACAGCTAATATATTAAGCTTCCCTGTGTGTGTTTGTTTTCATTTCAGGCCCCATTCAGGAAAACTATTACTGATAAAAATCTTTGTTTCAAACAGCACAGACAGAGCGCTGAGCTGAAATTGGATTTGTGAAGTGTTTCTGTTACAGCACCGTCATTTTTGTAGCACTCCAGCGAGGGACAGAGAGGACTTCTCAAAACACTTATTCCTGACTTTAGACTTAAGCCTCTCAGTACTTTCTAAAAAGTTATTTCAAAAATAAATGTGGTGATAAAATCAAAGCTTTCTTGAAGCTTGCTGCTTTTAACTGTATATTCATAGTTTCGTAGTTCTACATGGCCAGATATCAGTCATCAGATCTGTTCAGAACTTGCAGCTCATTCTTTGTGGAGGTATCAAAGCAGTCTTCCCTATCTTCTTTTTTGTTTTTAATGAATTGAGATTGGCTTGTAGTTGGTTGGAAAAGTTTTTGTCGTGCTTCTGGTTGGAGTTGTGCCTGACTGACACACTGACATGGACTTTAGAGGTGTCTGGTCATCCCCAGTTTAAAAATCAGTGATTTCAGCATTTCCAACTTATCTTGGAAATTTTAGATTCAGTGCCAATGGGTGGCTTTTAAAGAATTATTAAATTGGTTACTGGCACTTGGATGTTCAAATTCTTCATGGTGGGGGAGCAGTGACATACTTTCCTACACCCAGTTTGCTGTGTGCTTCTGAAAGGGACAGTCATGGAGGACAGCATGCAGATGTCCTTGAGGATGTAATAGGGGAGATCTGTCTTGATACAGCTTTCTAGAATATTAGAGTTCTGGTTTGCTTTACAAAAATATCATCTGGACTTAGACTTGGAGGTGTTCCTAATCAGTGGAAGATGGAAGTCAGTATTGATCAATAGTCATTTGTGCTGGCTATGGAAGAGGAATCATTGGGGACTGGATACGCAGGCTGGCAGGGATGTCCTTTGGCTTGATGATCCAATGGAGGTCAGAAGAGGAATGATTCAGCTATCCAGCTGAAGGAATTTTGGCATGCTGCTTGGGCCCAGGGGTAAATACTAAAGACCTACCTTATGCCAATTTGAGATAAATTATTCTTTCCAGATTTAATGTGGCATATTCCCATCTTTGTGTGGTGGCTGTCAAAGTCTCTAACGTACAGCTGGGCAGTTCATGCATGGAAGAACTTGTTGCCTTCGGTTCTCCCTTAGAGGCTGATAAACATTAGCCACCCAGAGGCGTACTGATTTAGATAAGCATGCTATAAATTGACACTGCATGTAAATGAGCTATCATGCTGTGTTGTGGTGATTAATGTAACTGTAATGGCACACATTATCTTTTAAAATTATGATAACCTGGGAAATCACTTAAAGATAACCTGTTCTGTGGAGAGTATCTGCATTTTGGCTCTATATAGCTTATCTTTACTCCTAATGCAAAAAAAAGAAAATTAAAGAGAGCAAACTGTGTACTAGGATGATATTGCAGTGCATTTACTCCTGCATGTTAATTTTCTTATACAAAAAAAAAAACAACCCACAAACAAAAAAAAAACCCAACAAAACCAATGCTTTTGAGCTGCTTTGAGACTGGCCTTTTTAAAATTTTCATTGAAATCATACTGGTTTTGTTAGAAGCTCAAGATTCAGGTGTCAGTGCTGGCACTTAACTAATAGTTGCTGAACCCTTCCAACTTCTGTCATGCTATTAAGGCCTTGACAATAAATGCTTGAGGCTTGGTTTGACTTAATTTAAGTCTTACAGGAATTTGTCTTAATTTAGCTTTTCATTCTGAAAGTATGTACTTTTCCTTGCAGGTTTTGCTTGTGCCATAATTCAGTATTTGTTCCAGTTTCTAAACACAACAGCTGACAAATACTTACGCTTTCTCTGATATGTTGGTACAAGTTTCATTAATTTATGTATGGTTAAATTTGCAGAAAAATTTCTTTCTTGTTTCAAATGAAGTGTAAAGCTGGAAAAAAAAAAATAGCCGCGGAATGCCTTTGGTTTTGCTAGTTCCCTTTTTGGTCCAAATCCTGAGAAAGCTGGGATTTTTGAATGTGAAGCATTAACCAAAAATGATTCAATAAGTATTGCAGAATCCCAGATGTTTGGATCCAAGGCACCAATAGGTACATTAACCCCTTTTTTCTTGGGAATCCTTTGGGCTGGCTACCCTCTTCTACTGTGCTCTGACACAGAAACAACTCTGTCCTCTTAATTCTGATCACTTTCCTCTTCTCCCTGCTTTTTCGTATCAGGGATAGTAGAAGGAAGAGCTCAGGAATCCTTGAGGAAAGACAAACTATAACATGTGTGTATTCCTGGAATAGTTATTTGACTTCTCCTCATGAGACTAGAAGTCTGTTCAAGGAGGGG